ATTCCATGTAGTCTTCTGGTTCTCTGTGTTCCCTGTACAGGCAAACTGGAAGGCCCTTAGTGAGACAGTTAGTAGCAAAGGATTTCACATCCCTGCTTCCTGACTGGTGGAAGGGGTGGGGCTTCCTGGAGAACCACTGGATTTGTTTGAGGGAAAGATACATTTTGATGTTTTGTGTGACAGAAGTTTCTAGGTGTATTTGTTTATGAAAACCAACTTACTCACTCCTTATTAGTAACTATACTCAAGATATGGGCATCCTAGGAGAAAAAGGATACAACCTATTAAGTATGACGTAAAAACTTTTTTCTAATTTTGTCGCTTCTCATTACAGGGATGTGGTGAAGCACATGCTTAGCATGTCTAAGACATTAGGCTCAATACCCAACACCAAAAAGAAAATAAACAAAATAACTTTGTCACTTGAGACAGTGTTTCACGATGTAGCTCTGGCTGTCCTGGAATTTACTATGTAGACCAGGCAGGCCTGGAACTCACAGAGATCCATCTGCCTCTGCTTCCCAAGTGCTGGGATTAAAGATGTGTGCCACCACACCAGGCTAACTTTGTCACTCTTTTTAACCTGTGGAATGTCTTCTCCTGTATAGTCCTAATTTTTATGACATGTTTCAACCCATAACTGGTCATATTGCAAATAAGTGACTATGTAATGATATCTGCATCACACTCTCTCTCACCAAGTCTCAGGGAACATCCCTGGAAGTGGGGAACAGAGAGTCTGTAATAGCCAGAAGACCAGGGGGACTTCTGTAAACATGCAATGTTCTGGACAGGACACACACAAACTCACAACAGCTGTTATTGACTACACAAGACCTGCACAGAGTCAAACTAGGCAAACTTCCAGCATGGGTGGAGGAGGGGCTCCCAAGACTCCATGCCTAGCTGAGGAAGGTATTGACAGCTTCTGAGAGGGCAACGAGCTGGTTTTCTTCAAGGGTGTGGCCACTGGTAGGGAGGTTGCCCATGTTCAAGTGGATGATGTCACAGTTGTGCACATATGAGCATTACTAACTGGACTTTGGAATTTCTTTTTAAAGAAGAGAACAAGAGGAGAGGAATATTATCAGTGGAGAAGTCCAGGAGGAGAGGAATGATATAGTAAGGGATAGATATGCTTAAAATAAATTGTATACATATATGAAATCCTCAAAGATTAGCATTTTATTAATAATTTTGTTTCCCTGTCATGGATAACATTGTTGCAGATGTGTAAAGCTGTGTAAGTTCATAATACTTGTTAGGAAAATTGCTTTTATTATCTCAAAATATTTTCTATTTAAAATATTTGCTAAGGCCTTGCTCCTTTTTTTCTTTAGTTTTCAGAGAATTTCATACAATGTATTTTGATCATATTCCCTTCCGTCCCCCAGCTCCTCCCAGATCTACCACCTCTTCCATCCTCACTCAACTTTGGGTCTTCTTTTTTCCCCATCTAGTTCAATCTGTGCAGTCAACATGCTCTTAGGTGTGCCCACCCACTGGACCATGGTTGTCCTACCTGTGGCCACACCATTAAAGAAAATCTACTGTCCCTTTCCTGGGACTTGACTCTACCCTCCTTCTCCATGCTAGGATTTTTGTCTGACTTAAGCTTGCATAGAGCTTATGCATTCTGTCACAACCAACGTGAATTCATTATGTGCGGTTGCCCTGTCAGGTCTGGGAGTCACTGCCGGGCTGTCGTTTTCTGCGTCCTCTGGATCCTGCACTCTGTTCTATCTCACCTTCCACAGAGAAATTTACCAAAAGATTCTTTCTATGATGGCAAAAATGTACAACTGACAATGAAAAGTAAATCCACCTTATATAGCCCTATCCTGAGAATTGTAATACAAAAGAAAAGAGAATAGAAGTATAGTCTGCTTTCACAATAGCAATTTAGTATTTTCTTTTTAATAGTCTGGGGTGTTAAGAATAACTCAATTCATTTTACTTATTTAATGGAAGATAAACTCAAAACTAGAGGAATCAAGTAGGCATGTAGCTAATAGAGTGATAACGCCTAAGGGCAAATCAAGTTTGGACAGAAAACAGATATTCTATGGAGGCATCTCAGGTTTACCCAAGAAATCACAGGGGAGACATGTAATACCAGTGCTCAGAACACTGAGGCAGAGAGAGAAATCAAGTCAGCCTGGGCCACATCTAGCAAGACCCTGTGTCAAACAATTTTTTTTAAAAATAAGAAATTTTTTTTAAAAAAATTTTTGCAGTAAGATACTCATAACCTACAATTTAGCATTGTAATTAGTTTCAAGTATCTGATTTAGAAGCATCAAGTAATTACAATGCTGTTACCACCACCACCACCTTCCCTCATTTCAAACTAAACTTCTCTACTGCTATAAAAATAACGCTTCTCTTTCCAACTACAGACCATTGTTCTGCTATTTGTCTCTGTACCTGCTTTAAGTAGAATCCCACAACATCTGTCTCCACGTACGTAGCCATGGATATGGGATTTCAACTACACTTTTGATGAAAGACGTATATATTATTTTATGTGTATGAGTGTTTTGCTTGCAAGTATGTTTGTGCATCCCATGAATGTAGTGCCTACAGAGGCCAGAGAGGGTGTTGGATACTCTGGAACTGGAGCTACAGACAGTTGTGAGCTGCCCTGTGGGTGCTGGGAACCAAATCTGGGTCCTCTGCAAGAACAGCCAATGCTCCTGACCACTGAACCATCTCTCTAGCCCCATGCAGTTTACTACTTTTAAATGCTGACCTAATAGTGCATTGTGCATAGTATGTATATTAAGGCTAAGTAGTCCATTAGCTGTATCATCACAAAAGTCACCACATCTAGTTTACACAGTGCTAGGAATTGAACCCAGAGTTTTATGCATGCTGGGCAACATTCCCAGGGACTCAAAACAGTTTCTTGTTGATGGCGGTGGTGGCTTTTTGGCATTTATCTGTTAGTGGGCATTCAGAACATTTCTACCTTTCAGCCATTGTCATTAATTCTGCCATGAATATTGGTGTACAAATATCTATTTGAATCCCTTCTTTCGATTCCTTTGGGTATATACATAGAAATGTAGTTGCTGAGTTGTGGACTTATCTGTGTTTAATTGTTTGAGGGGACTCTACAGTGTTTTCCACTGAAACTGCCATTTTAGCAATGCTTGCAGACCAGTTCTTCCATGTCCTCACAGGTGCTCATGATTTCCCAGGATTTTAAACTGTAATGTGATATTATGGGTGGACTTTCCCCAGATCTGTTTTGTTACCATTAAGTTAGACCTTGAGACTGAGAAACTCTCAGGATAGAGGAGAGCAGAAACTGTTCAGCACCAAGAATAGCTGTTCAGTTTGGCATCCAAATTGAGATGGCTTAAGTTCCACGGTTTGGAAGAGGAGGTGTTGCTTTTGAGGAGAAAAATAAATTTTTGGACTTTGAAACCCTATTTTTGCAGATTAGATCACTTCAAAATTCCAACATTTGACCATTTTGACCTATGAAAATGGAATGTGCTATTGTTTGTCCTGTTAATGGGCATCAAAAACTCCAAGATTGGTAAATGGGGTTTGTATCCTCCCCCTAGATAAGTAAGATCATGAGATGTCAAGTCAAAAAGTTCTTATGCTCGTGTTGCTAAGCACACTCACGAGGGCAGAGCGACAAAAGCCTTGTGAAGGTGTGTCCAGTGTCAGGTCCCTCAAAGACAGAGGGCAAGTGGCTAAGTAGTCATTTAGCTTTGGAGTAACCATTTTGCCACACAGATTGAGCCGACGACATGCCACAAGACGCCACACTGACGGCCAAAAGGAGGTGTTTTTCTAGTTCCTCTGGTCTCACACACACTGTCCAAGAGAGAAAGAAATTCTCTTGAGCCCCAACAGGGTAGTGAGTAGGTAACAAAATTGCTGGGATCCCAAGAGGCCCAAGGTTGGGATGAGGAGACAACTCTGGAACCAGGATAAAATGGGCTGGGTCAGAAATTAGAGCTTTCAGTGTCCAGCTCCCGCAGAACACTGGACGAGCAGGTGGGGTCAGCCAAGGCCTAGCCAGAGCCAAGCAGCAAAGGACACCAGAGGGTACAAAGCAAGGCATGCCAGCACAGGGGCCGTGCCAGGAGTGGACATCCTTGTGTCACACCAAAGCAAGGGGGTTAAAGACTTTATTGTGGGAAAGGGTAGGAAAGGTAGATGCAGGAAGCCCTGAATTGAGGGTCTTGTCAGAACAGTTATCCTGAATGGGCAAGTATCCGTCTGCCTCCTTCCTCAGCTCCCATCGAGATCAGTTAGAAGAATAAACCAATTATAAATTTTTAGAAACCTCTTACTGAATACCCATAATCAGGCACTTCAAAGTGGGGGTGTTGTTTGTAGGGAGAAAACAGACTTCTGTTTTTAACATGCTTGCAATTTCTTAAATTGACCGTGTGGTTTGCAGTCCTTGGGGTCGGGGGGGGGGGGGGGGGGGGGGAGCGATAATGATGGCCCCAAGCTCAACAGCTATAAAAGCAGTGAAGCTCAGCAGTTTGTTCACCATCATACCGATAACAACTGGAACACTTATATTCTCTGACATCAGGTCCTGGGCATTCCTAGTGATGAGAATTAGTTTGGATGACACTTTACATAAGTATCACTAAGACAGTGGTTTACTAAAGTTTACCAGACTGAGCATCGGTTCTTTTTTTTTTTTTTTTCTAATTTTCTGATCGAGATAGAGAAACAGAAAAGTTTAAGATTTGACAAAATAGTTTATATATTTTATTATTGTTAAAGGAAAACCAGAAAAGCAGTTCATTTCTAAAGTTTTTTATTGCCTCTTGTGGTGGCGCACGCCTTTAATCCCAGCACTCGGGAGGCAGAGCCAGGTGGATCTCTGTGAGTTCGAGGCCAGCCTGGTCTCCAAAGCGAGTACCAGGAAAGGCGCAAAGCTACACAGAGAAACCCTGTCTCGAAAAACCAAAAAAAAAAAAAAATAAAAAATAACCAATACAAATATCAATTTCAGGACTTTGAAAACATTTTCATTTTAAATGGGCACTTTACTCATTCCCCCTGTGTTTGCCAAGAGAAGTGTCTGTTAGGGCTTCTATCACCACAAGGACACACCATGACCATGGCAGCTCTTATAAAGGAAAACATTTCATTGGCGCTAGTTTATAGTCAGAGGTTTAGTCCATTGTCCTCCTGGCAGAAATTAGTGACATGTTCTTCTAGACAACATGGCGGCATGCAGGCAGACGTGGTCCTGGAGAAAGAGCTGAGAGTTCTACATCTGTATCCACAGGCAGCAGGAGTGACAGTGGCACCCTGGCCAGGCTTGAGACCTCAAAGCCCATCCCCTAGTGACACACTTCCTCCAACAAAGCCACACCCCCTCTGGCAAAGCCACACCTACTCCAACAAGGCCACACTTCCTAATAGTGCTGCTCCCTATGGGCCTATGGGGGTCATTTTTATTCAAACCACCACAATAAGGAACCATGTAAAACAAGTTAGACCCAACAGAAGGTGATTGCTGAGGAGGAAATGCCAGTCTTTCTGGGTTCCTAGGACCAGTTGGGGCTGCACCCTGGGCCTAAAGCTAGATACTAGATACATCTGGTTTTGTCTTCACATCTGCAAGATAACATATAACTTTATGGCTATTTTTTGGAAATTAAGTAAATATCTTATTTGTGTAGTTTTACAAGTTTTTGTGTAAGAACGTATTGTATGCTAAGCATTCTCCCATTCACCTGACCTTTGCCCTCCTCTCTCTTGACTCTCCCACTCCTGTTCATTTGTTCTCCTAGACAACATCATTTCTACATTCATGGCATATACATAACTGACTTTATGTATCAATATAAGATCTACCAGCCACAAATGAGAAAAAAAACCCGTAATATTTGTCTTTCTGTGACTGACTTACTTGGCAGAACATTATCTCCAGTTCCATCCATTTTCCTGCACATGAAAAACTTCATTCTTCTCAAAACATTTCATTTTTATATTGTGAGCATGTGTGGCATGGGAGTGGCATGTGTCATGGCATACATGTGGTGGTCCGGAGGATTAGCTGTGGCAGTCAGGTCTCTCCTCCTTCGAATGTGTGGGTCCTATGGATTGGACTCAGGTCTTCAGGAAGTAGGTGCCTTGGAAGTAGGTGCCTTCAACTGCTAAGCCACCTCCCTAACCCAACTTCGTTCTTTATAGCTGAGAAAAAATTCCATTGGGTATATAAACCACATTTTCTTTATCCATCCCTCTGTAGTTGGACAACTAGATTAGTCCTATAATTTAGCTATTGTGACTAATGCTCCGATAACATTAATGTGCAAATACCACTGTGTTGTGTTGACTTGAAGTCCCTTGGGTAAATACCCAGGAGTGGTATAGCTGCGTCATTTGGAAGATCTATGATGAGATACTATAAAATTCTCTGTTGTTAAACTAAGTCACTGTTTAGACTCTGTGGGCTTTTGGCCTCCTCACTCATTCTCAGGATGATTGGCAGTTCTTTATACTGGTTTCCTAAGTAAATTACCAGGAATGCAGGCTCCAATTAAACCAGCGCTTTACCCTTCGCCCACTGCTTTCTGTCTTTGTTAGCAAGGGAATGGTATGGTACAGCATTCAAGGAAACTTCAAGCTGAGCTTGTGCAGGGTGGGTAATAAGGAAATCCATAGAACAATAAAGTCCCTGTGTTGAAGTAGGCATTGTTCAGAATTAGATAAGATTATTGGAGTTTGAATAATTGTGTGGAGAGTGATTCTCCCAAACATTCCCAGTGCAGGAACAGGACTTTCTTTTCCCATGCAGGAGTCATATGAAAGGTGGTATCTATTAGTGAAGAGTGGACCACTAACTGTCCAGATCACAGGGTTTCACATGACCCCATGCACAGACTGACAGCAGTATCCTGCCAAAGTAGAGCCCATGGGGAATAGGCCTTTGAGGTTGTTTAAAAGTGGTAGGCTGTGAGAGAGCAACATATTTCCTTCTTAGAGCTTAATTTAGCTGGAAACAGAAGATAGGCAGAATGTGTTTCCTGTAGTCTTGTGTATTGTGTAATTTCATTAGATATAAACAAACTTGCTCTGACTCATTGAATCAACTGACATATTTACTTCTATGTAAAATGTGACCTTCAAGCTATATATAGCACATAGCCCAAAAGAACACTTTTTAAATAGCTCCCCAAGTGTTCCATTACAATTGTCGCAATCATCAGATCCCACAACAAAGACCAACTTCAGAGGCATACGTTGTCCTCCTATACCATTGCACAGACATTGGAACACTCTGTGTAGGCCATGGGACTGTTTAACCCTTAAAAATGTGAAGCAGGTAACATTGTCAAGGAGTTCATATGTCAGTGCACAGGACTAAGATGTAGGTAAAAATAAATAAATAAGTAAGTAAGTAAATAAATAAATAGCAGTAATCCCGGGTCTAGGGAGATGGCTCTGTGGGTAAAAGGCACTTGTCACAAGAAAGTCCAATAGCCTGAGTTCGGATCTCCAGAACCCACATGGAGCCACAATACAGTAGGATGGTCTGGATGATTTCCAGCTTCCCCAACAAGGAGATGGAAAGTGAGACAAAGGAATGTCCAGAAGCCAGGCAGCTAACCCCGCTTGCACAGCACTGAAGAGAGCCTGTCGAAAACAAGGTGAAAATGTAAGGACCGACGCCCAAAAGTTGTCCTCTGATTTCTACATGTGCACCATGGTACGGGTGCACCCATACCCACATACACAAGCAAGTACTCCCCCCACCCCACGTCCTCACACATTTAACACATATAGACACACAAAGGAAAAAATAATTTAGTGTGTTCTGTTGGCTAAGGAGAAATGGGGAAAAGAGTAACTGCCTTGTATTCTAGGGTGTCCTTATGAATCTGGAGATGGGACCATTTACCCAGAATCCAGTAGTCCCCTGTCCTTTTCTCTAACCTATCAACAGAAACGTAAAAAAATGGCATGTCTTACTTTCCCTAGCACTACAAGTTTGTGCCCTCTGTAATGTGTAGGTATCCACTGATAGATGTAAATAGAAAAGTGTTTTTTTTAGGTCCACAGATAAGACAACATCCATAATTAAAAAGAAAAGTGTAAATGCTGCAATTTTATTTTCTCTTGTTTTCAATGTTGCACGTAATTTTTCCGAAGCATTTACTTGTTCATTTGCCTTTATCCTCCTTATCTCCTCCTCTCCTCAATGATACTTGACCATTACCATTGGGTAAGGAAATGCTACTGGCCTGAGACAGGTCTTCTGACTGTCATTCCAATAGCGGCCTTTAAAAGCATTGGTTAGGAGTTCTCGTTAACATTATATAATTGTGGGGTTGTGTGATGGTTATCTCAATCGTCAGTTTGATGGGATCTACAATTGCCTAGGAGATGAGCCTTGGGGCACACTCGTGGTAGATTAACTTGATTAGATTAACTGAGGTGGGGAAAACTTGCCTGCTTATGTGTGGCACCATTCATTTCTGTGTTGGGATCCTGGCCGGCATATAAAAAGGAGGGCTTTTTTGAGCTGAGGGAGAGCATTCACTGCTGTCTACTCTGGACTGTAGACACAATGTGACCAGTTGCTTCAAACTCCTCCTTGTTGTTGGTTGTGTTTTGGCTCTTCTTTTTGGGGGGGGGGGCGCCACCCAGCTCCCAAATAAATCACACACGGAGGCTTATTCTTACTTATGAATGCCCACCCTTAGCTTGGCTTAGTTTCTAGCCAGCTTTCCTTAAATTAACCTGTCTATCTTTTGCCTCTGGGCTTTTCCCCTTCTCTTACTTCTGTAAATCTTACTCTTACTCCATGGCTTGCTGTGTAGTTGGGTGGCTGTCCCCTGGAGTCCTCCTCCTTCTCTGGCTGTTATCTCTTTCCTTCTCCCAGATTTTTCCCTCTATATGTTCTCTCTGCCTGTTAGCCCCGCCTATCCTTTCTCCTGCCTTGCTATTGGCCATTCAGTTCTTTATTAGACCATCAGGTGTTTTACACAGGCACAGTAACACAGCTTCACAGAGTTAAACAAATACAACATAAACAAAAGTATTACCGTAAAATAATATTCTACTACACCTCCTGCCATGATTGCCCCAAGATGGACCATACCGCCAACTGTGAACCAAATGCAAATCTCTAGGCTGCTTTCATCCAAACACTTTGCCACAGCAGGAAAGGCAACTTAGGTTGAATAGATGTTTTCTCCCTATCCCCATTAAACAGATTCTCAAGTTTAGGGGTGGGGGTTGAGGGGGAGACATTGTATTTTGAGTTTCTAAAGAAGCATGTTTTAGAGAGTATATCAGAGAGAGTGAGATCTTAAAGTCTTGTAGGAAGCCAAAAATGTTAGAATAGTGAGCAACTGTGATGAGCAGGCTTCCCAGCAAGGCATCCATCCCATCTGTTATCACTTAGGTACATATGTAGCTTTTATATGCAGACAGAAGGCTGAACCCAGGGTCTCACACATGCTAACTGAGCACTCGTCTACCAAACTATATCCCTAGCTTTTTCTTGAGGCAGGGGTCTCACTAAATTGCCCAGGTTGGTCCTGCTCCCTCTGCAGAGCAGGCAGGCGTTGAACTCCCATCCTTCTGCCTCAGTCCCCTGAGTGGCTGTGTGTACAGGCCCATGGTATCCTGTCTTCTATCTAGGATGGATTCTTTCTGGTAACAAGGGAGAATCACTGAAGCCTCATATCAGTGTCCAGGATTGCCCCAGAAGGAATGCTTCTTCACTCTCAGATTGGTTCTTTAAAGCAAGCAGACATTTCTTGCTATAATCTTTCCATTTTTACTTTTTAGGATTTCTTTTGTGTGTGTATGTGTGTGTGTGTGCGTGTGTGTGTGTGTGTGTGTGTGTGTGTGTGTGTGTGTGTGTGTGCCTGTGTATATGCTCAAGTACATGCAGGTGCCCTTGGTAGCTAAAAGATGCCATTTACATCTCCTGGAGCTGAAGTTACAGGCTGCTGTGAGGCACCCAGTGTGTGGGCTGAGAACCAAACTCTGGCCTTGTGCAAGAGCAGCAAGTACCCAGCCATCTCTTCAGTCCATTGCCCCATTTTCTGCCCAGCTCTCATGGTGCTCTAGCGCTTTCAATGAGGCTTCCTAAGGAAGTCAAACAATGCAAAAGCCTTCCCTCACCATAGTAATAGCTCGCTGACATTTTCAACAGCAAAAGGACTCTTATGTTTCCTGTGTGAAATTTCCAGCGACAGCATGATTTGAGTACAAAAATTAGTAGTTTGGGAGTCTAACGAAAATGAATCTGAGTCTCAGTGATTGTTAGCTGGTGGCTGGGACTGATTGTGTAAAAGCAGGGATCCTGGTGCCTATTTTAAAGAACTTAAAAGCCCCAAGAAGCTCTAAGATTCACAATGCACATGAGGAAAGGGCCTAAGGAGAACTCGAATGTCAAGGCCTTTTGCTGTGTTTTCTTTAAAATGGCGATCTCTTCCCTGTGATCTAACTGTTCCTCTTGTTTGAATTAACATATTAACATGAAAAACATTTGCCTCTTCCCTGTTGGCCCCTCGGGGGGACTAGCAGTTCTACATCTTGAGGCCTCCTCTCTTACCACATCAAAGATAGAGACTATGCCGAGTACCCTGCAAAGGAGATCTTCAACTTCGTTTCTACCTACACTTCTGCTTTCAGTGAGAAATAGAAGTGAGGTCAGATTTTCAAAGCCAGATGTCATCCCTCTAGTCAGCTCTGGTGTGGTTATTGTCTATTCCGAGAGGTTTAAAATGCGTGCAAAGACTTTAGACTTTCTAGAGACACAGCAGAAGGTGAGCAGTGAGAAGAATTTTCTCCTAGATCTCCGGAGATCTGGGGTAGTTAACAAGAACAGGCTGTGGAGATTGTGATCTGCCATCCCTTCCTGAAACAGAACCAGATGACCCAGGTCTTCAGCCAGTAATTCTCCCGCAATAGGACACACGGAGAACAGAACCAAGTCACCACTGAGCTTCTTGATTTCTTCACCCACCTCAGGTGGAGTTGGGTGGGAAAGCCACCCAGCCACGGGACTGAGTGGGACAGAGGTTCAATACCTCTGCCAGACTGTCAGAGTGCTTCGACATTTACTCATCCACGCATTTATACAGGCGTGCGTACAGATGGAGATAGGAATTAAAATAATGGGTAAGGGGAATTTTTCCAACTTGAAAAATGTTCCAAGGCCAAAATAAGTGGTCCTTGGCAATTATAGCAGAGAGAACAAGTAGGAGGGGAGATTGACCTTGATAGTGAATGTCATGGAGGAAACAAGGTTCACATTTCTCAGATCCGGAAAGCTGATTTGATCAGGGTGTTTATAAATGGAGCAATACGAATGCTTGTTTAATAAACCTTGACTCACAGAGCCACAGACAGAAATCACTTCTATGCTGCCTACACAGCTACTACAGGTCTCCAACTCTTTGTCTGAACCTTGAGGCCCTGTGTTTCTCAGGATGCAGAGTTTCTTAAATTGGGAAGGCAACCAGGTAGGGCCTGGGACAACATTCCATCATGAAACACACCAATATTTACATTGGATGTGATGTGGAAGCCCTGTAAATAGTCTCCCTGTTCAGGTCAGGTCTTACTGCCAAATGAATTGAGATCAAGTCAGCTGTAGATATAACCAACTGTCTTATTAAATAAGAAACACAGAGCCGATTCAGAGAAGAAAGCCAAGAGGTCAGAGCTAAGAGCCTCACCCTTCCTGATTCAGCGATCCTCTTCAGCCAAGAGAGCTCTCCAAAAGGGACCTACTTCCTGTGTGTATGTCTTTATATACTCTAGCTGTTCTGCCTTCTCATTGGTTGTAAACCCAAACATGTGACTGCCTCGTCACTGCCTGTATGTACTGCCCTCCAGGTCCTTAAAGGTGTGCGCCACCGCCGCCACGCACTTGCTATGGCTCTAATAGCTCTGACCCCCAGGCAACTTTATTCATTAACATACAATTAAAATCACATTTCAGTACAAGTAAAATACCACCACATTTCCCCTTTTCTATTTTAATAAAAAGGAAAAAAAAGAAAAAGGTTATAACTAACAAAAGAAAAACTATATACAAAAGTACAATTACTATATACAATATATACAAGTAATAAATGTCTAAACAATGTCTAGTCCATTTGTATTTGACAAATTCAGAGAAAATAATTTCATTATCTATCCTATTTTGTTAAGTCCAAAATGTATCTAATTCACTTTCTATCCTAATTAATCTTCAACTATAACTAACTAACCTTCAACTATAACTAACTAACCTTCAACTATAACTAACTAACCTTCAACTATAACTAACTAATCTTCAACTATAACTAACTAATCTTCAACTCCCTCAGAGACCCAAGAAGGAAATAATATTAGCTAACAAAAATAAAAACAGAAAGTGCATGCAAGCAACTTCCAAAAAATTTGTGAGTTGACAGAAACAGCCAGCTGCCTGGACAGTCACCTGAGGTTTCTCCGCAATGCTGGGGCATCATCTTCAGCCTATAGACTTAGCATATCTGACAGACTCATTTGTGAAGTAGGATGTACACAAGGTCAACAGTTCAACCTCACATTGGGTGAGAGCAGTCCATGTACCAGAAACACCTGAATTCCACTAGTGTCATGTCATGATTCAGGATTTTAAATTC